GGCTCCCCCAAGTTCTACAAAGAATTCAGTGTCCACAGCCATCATGGTTCCTATCTTCACAAATCTCTCTCTTCACAGAAGCAGGAGGTCCAGGGGTGATGAGATCATCCAAACCAGCCAAAGAAAAAAACAATTCCCATTTCGTTGCATTCCAGTGCATTTTTGATGCGTTCTGGTGCGTTCCATACCAGACAAAATGTGACATGCAGTATTTTTCTGGTCTGGAACTGACTGCGATGGTGTGAACTGAGGCCAAGAAGAGCATTGGGAAACATTGGGATGCATGTTAGGTCCAGAAACAATCTGGTCTGGTCTGGAGTTGGCGTGAATGGGCCCTAAACATTACTTGTAAACTCAACCAGGTGTAGCTAATTACCTTCTCAATGGCACACAAAGCCATTTGACTTTCAACTGTGATTAGCTGGGGTCATTTTAATAAGCTCAGCAGGAAAAGAGCTTTTCTGGAGCATTTCAGTCCCTGGTAGTGCAATTGAAGCAAACAAGGTCTTGGTAGTGCAATTGAAGCAAACAAGGTTCTGACAAGGCACTGTCAAAAGATCTCCAGGATAAAGTTGTGGACAGGCACAAGTCAGGAGATGGATAACAAAAAAAAGTATTTAATAATGCCTAGAAGCATTATTTGGTACAACACAGACCCTCCTGGATCAGGACGTCGTTCCAAACTGGATGAGAGAGCCAGGAGGAAACTGGTCAGAGAGGCTACCAAAAGGCCTACAGCAACTCTGAAGCAGTTGCAGCTATTTATGACAAAAAGTGGTCATTGTGTGCATGTGACAACAATATCACAAATTCTCAACAAATGTGGCTAGTATGGGAGGGTTGCAAGAAAAAAGCCACTATTTAAGAAAGGCCACATGCAGTCACGACTGAGCTTTGCCGAAACGCACCTTGGAGATCCTGAGGCCACATGGAAAAAGGTGTTCTGGTCAGATGAGACTAAAATTGAATTGTTTGGCCTCAACACCAAATTATGTGTCTGGCAGAAATCCAATACAGCTCACCATCCACATAACACTATCCCTACAGTAAAGCATGGAGGTGGTAATATCCTGTTATGGGGGTGCTCCTCTGCAGAAGGGACTGGAGCACTTGTCAGGATAGAAGGATAAATGGAAGGGGCAAAATACTGTCAAATTCTTGAGGAAAATCTGCTGCCCGCTACCAGAAAGTTGTCAATGGGAAGACAACATGACAATGACCCAAAGCACACAGCAAAAATGACCACACAGTGGTTGAAAGAAAAAAAAAAAGGGGGAATGTCCTTGCATGGCCTAGTCAGAGCTCAGACTTAAACCACATTGAAAATCTGTGGAATGACTTGAAGACTGCAGTCCACAAACAGTCACCATCACATTTAACTGAACTTGAGCAGTTCTGCAAAGAAGATTAGGCAAATATTGCAAAGTCTAGATGTGCAAAGTTAGTGAAGACATATCCCAAAAAACTAAAGGCTGGAACTAAAGCAAAAGGTGGTTCAACAAAATACTGACACAAGGGGGTGATCCTGTTTCCAACTTAGTGATTCTGGTTTGGAATTTGTTTTTGTTTTTTCTGACATGTCGGTGTTATATCTTTCACTTGGATGTTATAAGTTGCACTGAGTAAATACAGCTGGATAAAACAAAAACTGTGTCTGTCTTCATTTCAGGCTGCAAAGCAAGAAAATGTGATTATTTTAAAGGGGGTGATTCTTTTCTATACCCACTGTAGGCGAGAGTGATGTAAATTTTGCCTGCAGCCTTCTGGGATACCCATGTCATGCATCCTAGGAGGCCTCAGGGTGCTCTATGGTGCATGCGTCACAGAACATCATCAGGGAGCTGGCAGTCCCTTCCTGATTCCTGCACCCGGCCCCCTAACACTTTGTGAAGCATGTGTGTCATCAAGGTGCTGGCTGCAAGAACCTGGAAGAGATAGCTGGCCTCCTGATGATGTCAGAGAAGAAGATGGTGGTGCGGGACTGGTTATACAGCAGCAATCTCCAATCAGCAGGGAAAGCATATTTTACCCTCCCTGCACTTCTCATTTAACTTCTTAGTGTCAGAAGCTATACACTGTACGTCCCTGCCACTAAGTGCCCAAAAGACTGGTCACGTATACACCTATTTGGGGTCTGTAATGCCAGTTACCATCCATCAATGGATGCCTCAGTATTGAGGCATCCATTAATGAAAGTTTTAAGCTTTTACAGATACGGATCGGGTGTCTGACAGTCATAGCAAAACGGTATTTACAGCACTTGCTGTCTCTGTTTGACAGCTGGTACAGATCAGGATTAGGAAATCCCGATGTGTACCGGCTTTTTTCTAAATGCAGCATAGAAACATTTACAGGGTTATTCACAAAAGGGTGAATAGTTTGGAGAAGGTAGAAGTGAACAATCTAGGACAACATAGCCGATATGGAAACATTTTCCAATTCAGCTCACTTTCCAGTTCAGCTATGTTGTCCTAGATTGTTCCCTTCTCCTGCCTTCTCCAAACTCTTCACCCTTTACTGAATAACCCTGTTAGTTACATGTTTCTATTCTAAAACAATGTCGCAGGCTTCTGATCATTCTGGGAAAGATCAGAAGCCCTTGGGGACATGATGTCAGCCTCAGTGTCACTAAGGTTATTATTAGCTGTACCTAAGTTTGCAGCAGCCTAATAATAACCAAAAATTTAATTATCAAGCAGTCATAGTGAGATTCATTCACAGTGACTACTTGATATAATTAAAAATACATTTTAAAAAAGTGTAAAAAAAATTAAAATAAATGTAAAAAATTAAAATTTTAGACTGTATTTAAATATATTTTTATATTATCATTATTATAAAATTAACCCCTTAAAATGAAAATCTGTAGCGGAGATTGGGAGCTTCTCTCTCTGTTTAGTGTTGAAAACATTTTTCTACATTAGGACTGTTCCAAAAATATATGGTGGATATTTTTTGTTTATAAAAAAAAATGCTTTTTTCTTTTTTGATGGTTATGAACTAGTTTTTCACTAGTTTATGAACACAACAACGAACTCTTATATGAAATTGATTGTATATTTTTTAAAAGATTTTTCACTTTACTTTCATATGTTATTCCTTTATATTTAATGGATACACGTGTTTGAAGTAATACTCTTGTTTTTACGCCATTGTTCACTGTATGATGACTTCATAGGCGATATATTTCTTCACAACTTTCTCACAATATGAGCTGACGTTTTAGCACGTGATCTTTATTGCATACTGATTATGACAGATTAGATAGTTTTGTTCATTATTATCTATTTATTTATTTTTAGATATGTATTAGCACTTCAGCGAGGCTCATCTTAATCTTTTTGTGCACTTTATCTGGTTGTTGCTGTAATAGGGCTGCTGCTTTATTATTTAAGACTGTTCGGTTGGCGTAAGGTCTTTTCTGTTTTCTTGAGCTGCAGATTTGGTTTTTACCCTAAGGAGGTTATTTTTGTTTTATTCAACCCTCACATGACAGCGATGTTCAAAGTATGTCGGTGTCCCTAAGTGTGACACAGTGACAGTAACATTGTATGACAGGTGACCACTATTACCTTTTAGAGAAAACACATTAAAATGTTAGCTTTTAGTTTTAGGCTGAGAAGTACAGAACATCTTCTAAAATCCTAGAGATGGAAGGTGTTTCCAAATAAAGAACAAATAAATGAATTTATTTTAATGCATTTTTTTTAGCTGTGTTATTTTGCTAAAAAATAATAATAATCAAAACTGGGGAAAAGTGTTTTCTTAAAATTTTTTCCTCATTTTTATAAATTGTAGTCGTCCTAAGTGAGGGGTTAGACACACCTATGTGATATAAGTATATAGCCCTGTTTGTCCTCTAAAACAACAATGAGGGGAATTCATCAAAACTGGAGCAGACATAATCTGGAGCACATTTGCACTGCAGCCAATCAGCTTCTCTCTCACTCATTTTCAACTCTCAACTGAGCAAACTTAAGAGAGATGCTGATTGGTTGCCATGCGCAACTGTTCCAGGTTCTGTCTACTCCAGTTTTGATAAATTCCCCCCAATGTATAATATGTGTGGGTGCAATTAACAAAAAAAGTATATTAGTTCCGTGGAAGGATCACTAAGTGCTTCCGTCATTAACGAACAGAAACTAAAAAAAAAAAAGCTCAGTCATGAAGGGGTTAAACATCTGTTTTCATGCACCTGGAATTTAAACTGAAGATTCAATTGGACTTTAAGCTTTCATCATTCTAAAAGGTGCCCAAACACCTTGCGATAATCGCGGGAAATCCTGCGATCGTGCGATTATCACAAGGTGTGTGGAGGGCGTGTGACCTCTGCTACTGTAAGGTCGCACGACTTTTATCTTTGGAACATGTTTGAAAACCCGCCGAGAATCGTACGATTGCCGGCGGGTGTGTGACATGTTCGTAAGATAAATGCCGCAGGGGCCGGTGTGCGCAAGCACATACTGCCCGTTCAGCATTGCGGTCATCGGAAGTACAATCTGCCTGTCCAAGATAGGCAGATCGTACGTTTTTTAATTACCTTACAACCAACGCAAGACAAAATTCTTGCGATGGTTGTAAGGTCTGTGGCCAGCTTAGGACAGAACAGAAAATGGAAGGAGTAACCACTTGCGCTACTTTTTATCACAACAACGCAAGTTATTGCGGTTCTTCACTTTGTGTGGCGCTGCAAATCTCACCCGCTGGCATTGGGGTGCCATTTAAAATGAAGGCAATCCAACACACCAGCGCACCCAACATGCGGTACCATGTGCTGTGCAATAGCATACATTAAAAGCATGGATGCCTTGCATTAGAGCAAAGCTATGGAGTAAACAGGACCTGAATGTATGGTGGAAGTCAAATTCACTGCTTTATAAATATGCCCCTAAGAAGAGAAATTCTGTAGCTGCTGCAAAATCCCTCGTGTGCCATGGCCCTGAATCAGATGTGAATGCATTACACCTATGTTTTAGTATGGTATATAAGGAAGGTCTCACCAGCAGGACGCTATAGAAGCCAGGCTGTGTCTCCCACTGCTTGAGCTGCTCCTCAGCCGGTTTCAGTACGGATGAATCTTGGCTGGTTGCCTGTGTCAAGACCTGCAACACGACGGAGCTGGCACTGTTCAGATCCATAAGGAACCTGCGCAAAAAACAAATCACACCGGCAAACAGCCTGGTCAGCTTCACTATGAAATGGACCAGTAATATCACATGTAAAGATTAGCATTATAAATGTCACAGTACACCCGGGTTAGATCAAGATCGATGTGTTATATAAGATAGTGCTGTGAGACAACTTGTAGTTGACAACTTTTTCAATAATCGATTATAATCGATTATGTCGATTAGTTGTTGCAGCCCTAATTGATTTACATCGATCAAAACACGTCAAAACACTCTTGTACATGGACTCCTTGGTTCCTTTTTCAGGATTCCCAAGTCTTTACAGCGACCATGTTGCCGGGCGCCTCTGACTCCCCCTTGAGATCCTTCTATGGAATTGCCTTTTCCCATGTGGCTAGCGCACTTTTTGATCTCTCTCTGTACTTCCTTACCTACTGAGCAGTGGGGTATCTATTTCTTGCCCCTTCCCCTCTCCAGAAATTGACTTTTTTTCAGCCCCATTTTTCCCCATACCTCGTTTTGAAATATCCACCTCACTGTTTTACTTGGCAATACCCCGACGCTGTTTCTTGTTTTCTCATTGTCATTTGCTCAAATTGCCAAATGGATTTCTATGCCGATTGTGGATGTTTACATGTTTGTATTGTTTGCACTGGGTAAAAATGTTCATAAAATATTTTGAAACTAAAATCTCTCATTATATTAAAGAATATTTCTAGGTAAACAGTTACAACCCAGTGCAGCCACAGCACACACAGACCACCTCACCGGGTCACTGGGGGTGTACTTCCTGAAATATGTGCTGTATAACTTCCCGTCTTTCTGATTCCTGTCCACCAATCACATCTATACCTAGAAGGCAGGTATGAATCCCACTGGTAGCTCTCAGTACTGACTTCTGTTCCCCATCACACTCCCATTATATAAGAACAAGACTGGACAAAGCCCTGGTAGCCAATGCTCCTTAAGAATTACAGATGGTGCTTAATGTCTGAAGTTTTCTTTTGGTGCATCCCTAATGAGAACCATTAGACACTACAAGCAGCAGCCTCTCTCGAACATGTTCTCTCGGCTCATCTCCAGCCAGCACCGTTTTATTCCAGTACAGTGAGGAAAGGTTAGAACCGTGGTCAGGCTTTTACTGCTGTTTGTCTTCCTGTCCCGGTGACAACCCCCTCAGTTCTTGCCCTGGTTTATTGGGAGGTCACTGAGACACATAATAAGAGGAAACTTTGACAGCGGGTCACAGGCAACAATCTAATCCGAAGAAATGATTGTGTCTGGGAATGGGCTTCAGCTGTGTCGGAGGCTCACTGCACACATGACATAAACACACAGGAGGGAACTTACCAAAACTCAATCTGGAGCTGTTGTCATGGCAACCAATCAGCTTCTCTCTTCAGTTAAGCTTTGAAAATGAAAAAGAGAAGCCGATTGGTTGCTATGGACACCAGCTCCAGATTCTGTCTGCTCCAGTTTTGATACATTCCCCTGATGTGTGTTCAACAGAAATCACAGACAATAAAATGTTACAAGGGTGGAGTGTGACTTCTGTAAAGACGCCATTTCAGGACACAAGTATTCCTGACCTGCCCCTGCCATGCTTCATGGTGCAAGGCCAATAAATCCAGACCAGAAACCATGGAGTGCACGTACACACACTCTGTACACATAGGGATGGGGCTGTATAAACAATGTACACATGGAGTACACACAGGAATTGGGGGGCTGTGCACACAATGTACACACAGGTATGGGGGCTGTACACATGGAGTACATACAGGAATTGGGGGGCTGTGCACACAATGTACACATGGAGTACACACAGGGATAGGGGCTGTACACATGGAGTACATACAGGATTTTGGGGGCTGTGCACACAATGTACACATGGAGTACACACAGGAATGGGGGCTGTACACATGGAGTACACACAGGAATGGGGGCTGTACACACAACGTACACATGGAGTACACACAGGGATGGGGGGCTGTACACATGGAGTACACACAGGGATCGGGGGGGCTGTACACACACTGTACACATGGAGTGCACACTGTACACATGGCCTGGTGGCCCTCTGGGTGGCTCAGTCCCTGTCCCCGCTTGTCCTGGCCCCTCAGTCCTATCTTTGGGTCCCTCTAGCCGGGCATTACCACCCACATAAGGCCCTCTACCCACCCGCACTCACCTCGCTTCCTTCCCCGCACCATTCACTCCAGGAAGTACAGAACTACCACTCCCGGCATGCTCCTGGTAGCGGGCGCCTATGGTGACGTCACATGAGTGCGCCGCTCAGGCAGCTGGCACGTTGTTGGGAATCGGTCCGAGTGGAAACGAACCAACATGCCAAAAGTTAAAGCGGAGAAGAAGAGCCGGAAACATGGGGAGATCCGGAGTCAGGGTGAGTACGAGGATGAGGACCATGTACACCGTGGGGGCTATTTACAGTCAGTGGCCTTGTTGTCGCTTATCTTTTATTTGTATTTGACAATTAAAACCTGATTGGCTGTTCAGCTCCATCTAAAACTGGACACGTCGATTTGGATAAGGCTTCGAAAGGTTTAGGGCCTCTATCAGGGTATTATCAACGTCTGTGTTATTAAGGAGACTTCCCTCACTTCCGGTCAGGGTGAGAAGTCATTGGACATCTCTCCAGTTGTGACACGGGCAAGAACCGCAAGCTCAGATAGGGCTCATTCACAACACGAGTAGACGACATGCTGCCTTGTTTCACACCTCACATCGTGTTCCCCAATGTCACAGATCCCCAGAAGTACATAGAAGTGAATGAAATGTCATTTTGTGACATGTCAATAAAGTTTTTTTTTTAAAGTAAATAATACCCTGTATTGTAACAAGACAAAGCACCCCCCTTACCACCACT